GTGGACAGAACTGCATCATGTCTATCTTGGCCTAAGAGCCATTCCAAATGTAGTTAAGATGGCAGAATTGTTGGCATGTCTGGGATGATGTACTGAGATTACATAGGAAAAAAAAAAAAAAGTGAGTGATTCCCACCTTTTGTTTGTCTATTTATCTGTTGATGGTTGTTTCTACCTTTTGGCTATTGTAAATAAAACTGCAATGAATGCTGGTGTAAAGCTCTTTCTGAGTCTTTCAAGTGGAATTCCTGGATCATATGATAGTTCTGTTTTTAGTACACTATTTTCCACAGTGACATTTTGCATTCCCACCATCAATGGAGAAGGTGGTGTGTCGCCTTGAGGACTATTGTGCTAGGGATAGAAACCCTGATGGCACAGTGTGTAAATTGTTGCACTGCTAAAGGTCCACAGTTTGAATCCACCAGCTACTCCATGGAAAAAAGATAAGACATTCTGCTGCCGTAAAGATTTACAGCCTCGGAAACCCTACAGGGTGGTTCTACTGTGTCCGGTAGGGTTGCTGTGAGTTGGAATCTATTGAATGGCAGTGAGTGGGAGGCTGGGAGTTCCTGGCTCTGAGGTCATCAAATTTAAGAGTAGATGGCAAAATCGATTGAAGCTGGATGATAAAGGTCTCAGAAATCCAAGTGGAGGTAGTCAGCCTTTGCTTTGTAGGCAATGGGGAAGCTATAGAAGGCTTTTTGAGGAGAGGAGTACCATGACAAAAACAATGCTTTACAAAGATTGATTTAGGAAAATGTGAGAGAATGGGATCTAGGAGATCACTCAGTAAGTTAGTTGGCTATTGTGGTTAATGTCTTTAAGTTGGTTCTGACTCATAATAACCCTGTATAGGGTTTCTGAGGAGCAGCTGGTGGGTTTGAACCACCAACCTGTGGTTAGCAGTCCAGTGCATATCCTACAGTGCCACACCAGGACTCCAGGAAGTTAGGGGATTTTTTTGTTTTGTTTTTAAGTGCCATTGTTTCCGAGGAGCAGCTGGTGAATTTGAACTACCAGTCTTGTGGTTCAAAGTCCAGTGCCAATCGTACTGCGCCACACCAGGAGTCCAGTAAGTTAGGTTGTTGTTAAATGCTGTCGAGTTGGTTCCTACCCATAGCAACCCTGCATAGGGTTTCCAAGGAGCAGCTGGTGAGCTTGAACCACTGACCATGTGGTTCAAATCAACTTTGCATTCCAGCGTATTAACCCACAGCACTATGCCAGGACTTCAGTAAGTTAGGTAGGAGTAGGGATATTAGATTTTCTCATATATTGCTACTACTTTGTCAGACTTTTTCCTAAAAGACTCATCTGGTTACACCTATTTTACAGATGAGGCTGAGTGAGATGAAACAAGTTCTCCAGGGGTACACAGTATGTAGTGACTGAGACAATATTAGAACCTGAGTTTGTTTAGAGCCTGCGTTCTTAAGCACTAATTCTGCTTCTGGTGGGCATGATGAAGTGTCCTAAGTACACACTTTGGGTGGAAGCCTGCCCTTTTTTTTTTTTTTTTGGTGAACTGAGTGATAGTTTACATTGGAGAACATTGGCTTTACACCATCGTTTCATTGCAATGATTACAATCTCCTCTGTGCATGATCACTCAACAGTATTTGCTTCCATTCCCTCTGTTTTATTTTTTTGGGGTGGGTGGGGTGGGGAAATGTACACAAACGCACTCAGGAATATATAATAATTTAAACAACCAGAGGGCACATTCTGCAAGCATGCCTCCTGACCGCCGCCAGCACCTAGTCCCTCTCTTTCCATGAGTCCAGAGTCCTCAGCTGCTCCCTCTCTCCATGTCCTCATCTCTGCCTCCATCTCTGGTGTCACTGCTTTTCTGGATAAGGTCCTGCATTCTGCTTGTGCTCTTCTCCCTTGATGGTCCTAGGGTCCTCTGTTTCTGGACTGTAAGATTAACTACACCCCTGTTTTTGTTCTACCTTTACAGTTGTGACAGTCACAATTAGTCATGATAACAATTACACACTATGGAATCATAAGAAACTATCCCCTTCTCTTTTCACCAGACCCATCTAGACAAGATGAAAACGAATTAGTGGGGATTCTTTCTATCTTCCCCTGCACTAAAACTCTTAAGGAGGAGAAGGGTTGAGGGATTCAAGGGTTGAAGGACATTGTGGTTTCACTGAGAAAATGAAATATGAACTCTTGAAAATGTGTGCTTGAGGGTGCTGACTTCAAGTTCAGTCTCTTCAGTTTGGACCAGTCCCTTGGATATTTGCCTCTAGAAAAGGGCTCCAGAGGTGGAGTGCTCCACCCTGCTCTTGGGACAGAGGGAGAAGAGGAGGAAACAAGGCACAGGGAGGAGTGAGAACCTGTCTGAATTCCTAGATGTAACTTTCTGGTGCCCCAACACACTAACCACCAGGCTCTGTCTGCAGCCTGGCACTTGGCTGTTTATTTTGGCCAGTTGTGATGTTAATAAATGACTCCCTGGGCTGTGCTGGAGCAAAGGTCCTGGTTGACAAATAGTGGGAGCTACTTCCACCCCTCAAGGGAATTAGCCCCTCTACTTCCAACCAAAGGTCAGGTTCCTGCTGGCTATGGCTTTATACCCAGTTTCTCACTGTGTCAGTACCTGCTCTGAGGTGGGGGCTGGCTTTAGAGGAAAAAAGAGGGTTGTTACTTCAGCTCTGCCCTTGATTGACTATGTGACCTAGGGCATGTTCCTTAAACTCCTGGTGCTTCCATTTTCTTGTCTTTAAAATGGAGATATAGTAGTACAAATATGAGAAGATCATCACCTAGATTCAGAGAGATCACATTACTCAAAAGTGGATCCCCAAGTCCCTGGTGAAGAGGTCACAGGTGAATATTATTTATAGTGACACTTCCTTATTCTGGTCCCATAATGTCACACACCACGCTGCCCATCTAATGAGAATTGTCTTTCTGCTTTTTGTTAATGAAGCAACTATATGCACAGCGGCAGAAGTCCTAAACCAAAAAACCAGACCTACTGGCATCGAGTCAATTCTGACTCACAACCACTCTGTAGCACAGAACAGAACTGATCCGTAGAGTTCCCAAGACTGTCAATCTTTACAGAAGCAGACTGCCTCATATTTATCCCATGAGCGGTTCGAATGGTGGGTTCAGACCACCAACCTTGCAGTTAGCAGCCCCACTCTGCCACCAGGGCCTAAAGAGCCTTTGAATTCAGAAACATAAAACAAACGACAAACAATGCATCAAGAAACCATTAACAGTCTCACTCTGCCCTCTCCCAGGTATTTGTTGTTGTTAAGTGTTGTTTAGAGTCATTTATGGCTGGTGAGCTTGAACTGCTGACCTTGCGGTTCAAAAGGCTTTGCAGTCATGCATTAATCCACAGTGTCTCACCAGGTGTAGGCCATCATAACATTTGGGAGGGATCATTTTCATTTTTCTTTAGGCTCTTGCAATTGTGTCCGACTTAAAAAATGGTATTCTAAACTCCACCAGTATGCTGCTGCATACTTGGAAAACTGTAATACTTGTATTTGGAAAACTTTGGACTCTAGCCACAGAAAACACTTGAAAAGGGAAGGGATTTACTGACTGACCCTCGGACCCTTCACGGTCAGCTCCCTGGCTGGAACCTGCCCTCCAGGGGAACTTGCTCTTCAGGCCTGGCACCAAGACTCTGAGCAAAAGATTTGTAACTCTGACAACAACAAACTAAGCCCACCCTTGCTGGGACCTTGAAGAGGGTCTTGGAGGACCATGTAATAGGTCCCTTTGCTCTGAACCTTAGTCCTCATGGGCAAAGTAGTGGTGGTGGTGGTGGTGGTGGTGGTGGTGGTTATGTGCCTGGAGTTGTGGCCCTGTATAGGGTTTCCGAGGCTGTAAATCTTTACAAGAGTAGAAACATCATCTTTCTCCCGTGGAATGACTGGTAGTTTCGAACTCGAAACCAGTACGCTACCAGAGCTCCTTATGGGCAAAGTACATGCTTCCTATACATTCATTCATTCATTTTTAGCACCCTAGGGAGCTGGGCAAGGCAGATATTTGCCAATTAAATATCTGAATGGATGACTCTTGTACTGTCTTTCACACCTTTCTGTTTGGAAAATGTAAACTCAGCCCTGGAAAGTCAGCCTGGTCACCTTGTTCTCCAGAGGCAGAGTTAAGGCCTTGCTTACCTTGGCTTTCCCAGCTAACAAAAAAAGTGCCTGTGTTCCAAGGCACTTTTTTTCCAGTGGTCTGTGACACCCCACCCCACCCCCACCCCCAAGGACAAGGCTGAATTAGTGTCTTTGTCTTTCCATTTGTGGGGCTGGGAAAGGGCACAGGCCAAGCACAATGTAAACTCTGGGTAGGGTAGCCTTCGTGTCAGAAAGAATAGAACTTGTGAAGAAAACCCAGAATAAAATAGCCTGGTGTGTTCTGGGAGGAGAGTACCTGCCGGGCAGTATACACAAGTGTGGGGATAGGAGAGGAGACTGACAAGACAAGACTGGGCTCTCAAGGACATTTATCTGTGCATGAAGTTGATCCTCTTGTCAAGAGGCCACAGTTGTGTGGACCAAGTAGAGGACACCCTGGAAGGGGTGAAGTGGAAACAAAGGCCGGGGAAAAAGGTGGAAGATGGGGCTGCCTCTCCTTTCTTCCTGAGAATCTGCAGAGCTCTGAAAGCTGACTGGGCAGCTGGCATCTCTAGAATGGACCAGGTCTACAAAACTGGCACCAATGACATTTCACACACTGGAGCTGCCATGGGATTTTGTGGCCCTATTCCTAGGAACTCTGGTAGCGTAGTGGTTACGAATCGGGCTGCGAACCTTAAGGTCAGCGGTTCGAAACTACCAGCCACTCCGCGGGAGAAAGATGAGGCTTTCTACTCCCGTAAGGATTTACACCCTCGGAAACCCTGTGCAGGGTCGCTATGGGTCAGAACCGACTCGACGGCACTTAGCAAACAAAACAAAATTCTTAGAAATAGGGGTCACTGGCCCCTCTGAATTCCCTCTGTCCTGCAGCTTCTATTCCAAGGACAATGAAGGCAGCTGGTTCCGCTCACTCTTTGTCCACAAGGTGGATCCACGGAAGGATGCCCACTCCACCCTGCTGTCCAAGAAGGAGACCAGCAACCTGTACAAAATCCAGTGTGAGTGGCTGCTGAGTTGCCAGCCCTGCCCTCCCAGGACTTCTGGGACCCTCCTCTTACCTCCCCGCCACTGGCAGACATACACAGCCTCAGCTTGACCCCTCCCCCACTCTTTGTTTTCTGTTGCAGTTCACAATGTGAAGCCCGAGTGTCTGGATGCCTACAACAGTCTGACGTGAGTGTCCTCCTTCACCTGCTCTTCTTGGCCTCTTCTGTTCCCACAGCCTCTCTGTGCACCCTCTTTACCATGTTCCCTGCAGTAACTAGGAGCTGTAGTTGTCAGAGTTGGAAGGCCTAAGGACAATTTGTCCAGACTTGCATCTTAGAGATGGGGAGATGGAGGCCCAGCCCTTATCCCGGGGGCCCTGCTAACTGGTGTGAGCCCAATGCCTTTTCTGTGTCCCTCCCCAGGGAGGCTGTACTGCCCAAGCTGCACCTGGATGAGGACTACCCATGCTCACTGGTGGGCAACTGGAATACATGGTACGGGGAGCAGGACCAGGCAGGTGAGGAGCCATCTTCCCCACCACCATCGACATCACTGCCCAACCAAGGCTTCCGGCTGTCCTCTACTCCCGTCACGCTCCTGCTTATATAGCCATCATGGTTCCCCACTGCCCTTGGCCTGGCCCATGGAGAGGTGCTGCCCAACCTCTTCTTTTCCTCCTTGCTCACTGTGCTACCTCCACCTAGAACTTTTTGTTTCTCAGATTAGCAGTTTGGCTCTTTGCTTCCAGACCATTGTTGATGCTATTTCCTCTGTTGGAGCATTCTTCACTTGTTGTACCTCATCCTCCCCTCTACTCACCTTTTGTTCTGCATAGATGTCACTTCCTCTTGGAAGTCTCCCCTGATTCCCTCCACCCTGGCTGGCTCCCAGTCCCCAGCACTTGCTGTACCCCTGCCACTGCCTGTGTGCTTGTCTGTCTGTCTCCTCTTAGAGGTGGTGCAGTCCAGGAGAGCAGGACCCATGCCTAACTGTCTTCACCACTGAAATCCCAGTTCCCCATACATGTGTGTGAAATAAATGGGGGCTCTTGTTGGCATTAGTTCCTTACAGCTTCCCAGAGGCACTGTACAACCCACACATGAAGTTGGTTGGCTTACAGCATCTCAGCAACTTAATAAGGGTCTTGGCATTTAGAACTGTGCTGTTATAAAAAAGCAGCCTATAATGTGGCGCTGTGTGGAGTCCTGGTGTGGTGCTGTAACTGCAAAGCTGTTTGAACTGCAAGGTCAGCCGTTCAGGCTCACCAGTTGCTCCTCAGAAACCCTATACAGGGTCACTATAGGTCAGAGCTGACTTGACGGCACTTAACAACGATAACAACTACCTGTACCTAAATTTAAATGAAGTAAATGAAATAAAATGAAAAATTCAGGTATATTTAAAGTGCCCACCGATAGAGCCACATGCTTCATGGCTACTGTGTTGAGCAGTGCTGATTTAGGCTATCTGCATAGCATAGGGAACTAATGCTTGACAGGGGCCTCTGACTTTCCTTTGAACACTGCCAGCACTGGCGAGCTCGCTACCTTGTAAGCCAACCTGTCTCATCCTCCGATAGTCCTGATAACTGTGTATGGCTTTTAAAACAAAGTGATGTGTTTTTTTTTTTTAAAAACAAAGTTGTCATTGTTACTTGCTGTTGAGAACAAAACTGCCTGGTCCCATGCCATCCTCATGATTGCTAACATGCATGAGGCAACTGTTCTCTTCCAATCTAGGAGCTCATCTCCCAGCAGCATATTCTGTTCTGATCCCTAGGCTTTTCATTAGCTAATTTTTGGAAGTAGATTGCCAGGCCTTTCTTCCTAGTCTTAGCCTGGACTCTCCATTGAAATCTACCATGGGTGGTGATCTTGCTGCTATTTAAAATATCAGTGGCAGAGCTTCCTACATGCATACCACCACAATTATACCAAACTGTGGGACCTAAAGATACATAGCCCATTAACTGTTTAAGCAATAGACGTTGACACATCAATATGGGGGTTAAGGCAAAGAGCACACGGTCTTCCTTTTTCCTATGTAGGCATTACTTACGTGCTCCAGCAGTACTCCTTGATTCTCTTAAGTGTTTGCTGCTTGTGAAATAACTTTAAAGGAAGAGACCCTGAATCTTTAAAGCATGTCCTATATTCTGTGTGTCTTAAAAGTGTAGGCCGTAGAGGAAGGGTGGGAATGACCAGCCCACAGGCTGTATTTGTTGTTGTTGTTAAGTGCCATCGAGTCGATTCCAACCCATAGAGACCCTGTATAGGGTTTCCAAGGAGCAGCTGGTGAACTTGAACCGCCGACCTTGCAGTTCAAACGGCTTTGCAGTCTGGTTCATTAACCCACAGTGCCACACCAGGACTCCACACAGGCTGTATAAGGCCCATGAAATTATTTGGTCTGACCCTGCCAAGGCAACCACAGTTCGAACTATCACATTTGTTATTGTTAAGTGCTATTATGTAGGGTTTCCAAGGAGGGCTGGTGAACTGCCGACCCTGCTGTTCCAATTGACCTTGTGGTCCATTGCTTATCCTACAGCACCACACCAAGAGTCTAGCCATCATATTGTTGTTGTTAAGTGCTGCCGAGTTGGTTCCGACCCATAGCGACCCTGCACAGGGTTTCTGAGGCTGCAAATCTTTACGGGAGCAGAAAGCCTCATCTGTCCCCAGCGGAACAGCTGGTAGTTTTGAACTGCCGACCTTAAGGTTAGCAGCCTGATTCGTAACCACTACACTACCAGAGCTAAGCTAATTTTTAAGTTGATAATTTTGTATGGCCTGTGAATGATGTTATAAATTTTAGCAGAGAAAAGGCTTCCCACCCTGCCACAGAGCATCTATCTGTATTAGAATCAGCTGAACAGACACTCTGTGATCTACCCTAGGAGCCGGGCTCAGGCAGCTGACTTGTAATGAACCACAGACCCAGTTTTTATTGAAAACAAAACAAAAAATCAAACCCACTGCCACTGAGCCGATTTGTACTCATAGCAACCCCATATGGGGATTCTGAGACTTAACAGATCGCTTCATCGTTCTCCCTTGGAGCAGCTGGTGGGTTTGAACCACCAACCTTGCCGTTAGCAACCCAGTGCCTAGACCACGGCGCTACCAGGGCTCCTTTCTATGTTGTTGTTGTTATGTGCTGTGGAGTCAGTTCTGACTCATAGCGACCCTGTAGAGGGGTTTCTGAGGCTATAAATCTGTACAGGAGCCAAAAGCCTCATTTTTCTCCCGCAGAATAGCTGGTGGTTTCGAATTGTTGATTGTGAGATTAGCAGCCCAATTTGTAACCACTACGCTACCAGAGCTCCTTTCTATAGGAACCACTAAAATCATGAGAGAGCCTGGTGGCACCCTGATTAAGCACACAGCTACCAGCAGTTTGAATCCACCAGCAACTCTGCAGGAGAAAAGACCTGATGATCTGCTCTTGTAAAGATTTCAGCCTGGAAAACTGGTGCAGTTCTGCTTAGGGCTGCTGTGAGTCAGAATCAGCCTGACGTCACCCAACAACAATCATTAGAGAATTCTCTCTTCTGTGGAGTCTCTGCTGCCCTCCCTGTAACTTCACCTGCTGGTCTCACTGTGTGTCTGCTCCCTCTCCCACAGGACAGCTCTTCTGGGTTGGGTAAGCTTTTCATCCATACAATTCTCTAACAATCTACCTTTGAAAGGGGCCTTTACACTGTAGGATCAAGTCATTTTGTAGGTTGGAAAATCAAGGCACAACTGGGAGCAGGCTGGAGCCTGGAAGTAATGGAATCCGTACTTCCTTTGAAAACTACAGGTCAGCCAGTGCCCATAGCTCCCACCTGCCCAGCTGACCCTTTGGAGATCTTCCTTCTCTGAAGGACTGGGCCATGCTCTCAGGATGGTAAAACTGATAACCTTCTTCCCCATAGAGTTCCTTGGGGGCAGTGGTGGTCTAGTGATAGAATTTATGCTTCCCATGTGGACTCCTGGTGTGGCACTGTAGGATCAGCACTGGATTGCGAACCACAAGGTTGGCAGTTCAAATCCACCAGCTGCTCCTGGGAAATCCTATTGGTTGATTGGTTATGTGCCGTGGAGTCAGTTCCCACTCATAGTGATCCTGTATAGGGTTTCTGAGGCTGTAAATCTTTACGGGAGCAGAAAACCTCATCTTTCTCTCAAGGAACAGCTGGTGATTTTGAACTATTGACCTTGACGTTATCAGCTCAACTCGTAACCACTGCTACCCGAGCTCCTTGGAAACCTTATATATACAGGGTTACTGTGAGTTGGAATGGTCTTGATGGCACTTAACAATAAAAACAATGCAGGAGACCTGGCTTCAGTTCCAGCCATTGCACCTCCTGCACAGACACCACCCATTTGTCATGGGAGGCTTGCGTTGTTGCTATGGTGCTGAATGGGTTTCTGGGGAACTTCCAGGTGAAGATGAACTAGGAAGAAAGGCCTGAGGATCGACTTCTGAAAACCCTGTAGATCACACAATCCCATCCATAACTGATCATGGGGATGGTACGGGACCAGGCAGCATTTTGTTCTGTTATGCCTGAGGTTACTGTAAGTCGGGTTCAGCTTGAAGGCAGCTAACATCTTCATTGGAAGGATAGGATGAAAAATTCAAACCAGGCAGAGTTTTCAGTGAAAAGTAAGCCTCCGTCCCACTCAGTCCTAGTCTTCAGTTCTCTGTTTAGAAGCATCTACTCTCATGATCTTTGGGGATTACTTCATAAGCGGGTATAATGAGAGCATCTCTGGATATGGTCTTGCCACCCCCTTTAAACGCATGGGTCAGCCTACTGTGCATGCTGTTCAGTTCCTGGCTTTGTAGATTGGCTTTTCATTTCGCTGTCTTGGAGAGTGTTCTGTATCTGCCCATCAGATGTACAGCCCTCCTTCCATACTGCCTTATGCTTGCTACTGCTCTTGGGAAAATATATGCCATCTTCTTGCCTTGCTATCAAAGAAAGGTTGCAGCAGAGGACCACCTCATTTTCAAGATATGGACATTGAGGACTAGGGGGGTCAGAGGCTGCTTCCAGGTCTCCTGGACTTGTGTCTGGGTCATCCCCTGTCCAGCACTGTGCTTCACCAAGGAACTGAGTCTGGGTTCCAGAGGGAATAAGGCTGTGGCCTCTCCTTCCCCTCTTACATACAGTCTTGGGGTAAGCAGGGTGGGGTCCCCGCCATCCTCTGACTTGCACTGCACACTCCCCAACAGTGCACCTGTGGCGGTTCTCTGGCGGCTACCCAGCCCTTATGGACTGTATGAACAAGCTCAAAAACAACAAGGTAGGTTGGCATGCCTGGCCAGGCCCTCTACTCAGCGAATCTGCTTGGATGGTGGGGCTGCCTCCATCACCCCCTGGGCACACTGTTGGGTGCTTTCTCACTGCCATACTTACAGGAGTACCTGGAGTTCCGGAAGGAGCGGAGCCACATGCTGCAGTCCCGGAGAAACCAGTTACTCTTGGAGTTTAGTTTCTGGAATGAGCCACAACCCCGCACTGGTCCCAATATCTACGAGCTGAGGACATACAAGCTCAAGGTGCCTGCTCCTTGCCCCGGCCCTGCTTGTATCCCACCTTCCCTGACCCATTATTGCTACTTTGGTGGTGCCCCAAGATGGGCCTAGAGCCCCAGCACCCAGTCGGGGCCTTCCCCTGAGTATGCACACATGCACACCCAGGTGCAGTCAGGGTCTGCCCAGGGCTGAGAAGTCCCTGGGAACTGCAACACTGGGGAGGGTCCAAGATGGGGCTCATTTGCATCCCTCTTCTGTCTCTCTTTCAGCCAGGAACCATGATCGAGTGGGGGAACAATTGGTAAGTGGTGGTATTAGTGCTGGGGTGAAGGGTCCATGCCTATCCTGCCTTGGCCAGGGGCCCTGGTGGGCCACTTTTCCTAGGGGCTATATTGCAGAGAATTTGGTATCCTCTGTCCCTCCTGGATCCAGGAGAAGGAGATCTAAGCAGGAGGTGAGGAGCTCCTGGAGAATTTGAGGCCTTAGCTGGGAGAACATGCAGCAGGTGCCTGCCTCTCCATTATCTCGTTTCTTGAATCACCTCTGCCAGTCAGGGCTCTATCTTCATTTTCACATGAGGCATGGCCAAGGCATCAGCCTGGGTACACTTTAGGGAGCCCTTTGTACCAGCCAGATCCCCAGACTTGCCTCCTAGTCCTGGCTTCTGCCCAGCAGTCTTCTCTATCCCTAGGGCCCGGGCAATCAAGTACCGGCAGGAGAACCAGGAGGCAGTGGGTGGCTTCTTCTCACAGATTGGAGAGCTCTACGTTGTGCACCATCTCTGGGGTAGGCTGGGGACCCTCTGGGAGCTCTTGTTAGTCGCCATTGTGCCAGGGACAGTCATTGTGGACAATGGGGATACACTTATGCCCACATGAACTAACTCACATTCTAGTAGAGGAGGAACCACCTTGGACATGAACCAACAAGGAAAGTTCTCTTCAGATGATTTAAACACATGGCAGAAAAGAAATAGGGAGATATGATAGAAGAAAATGTTGAGGATCTACTTTGGCTTGGGGAGACAAAGGTAGCTTCTCTAAGAGGGTAACTTGTGAGAACTGAGCTAAAGGATGAGAAGGAGCCAGCAGCAAACTGCTGAGGGAAGTGCATCCCAGGTGGAGGGAACAGCATCTGCAAAGGCCCTGCCAAGAGGAAAGGCCTTCAAGCTTTTGAAGAGCAGAAAGGAGGCTGATGTGGAGCGAGCAGGAATGAGCGCAGTGTGACAGGGTATGAGAGGGAGCCAAGTCTGGCCTCACATGTTATGAGGAGGCGTTGGGAGTTTTTTTCTTAAATGCAACAGGAGGCAACTGCAGCATTTAAAGTAACAGGAACACATCTGATTTATGTTCTAAGGGGATTCCTCTGGCTACCGGTGGGTGGAGAGTTATTTGTAGAAGCTAGAGAGGAAGTGGACCATCAGGAGATGTGGGACTAGTCCAGGTGAGATAGTATGGTGGTCTGGCTTAAGGTGGTGGCAGTGAGCATGATGAGAGGTCACAGATCATTAATCTAGAGGAAGAACAGATGGAACTTGTGGATGAATTGGCTGTATGGGACAAGAGAGGGAGAAGATTCCAGAACTCCCAAGCTCCTGCTGGAACTACTGTGACTACTGTTGCCATGGAGACACAGAGGTTTAGGGGAGAAATGCTTGGAGGATCAGGAGTATAACTGGCCCATGGACGTGTTTCGTCTGAGACCTGGCACATTCAAATGGAGATATCAAGGGGGCTTCAGAACATTCATGGAAAAATTCCATTATCTTTTCATTACAATTTCCATGAACTTTTTGAAGTCCCCTAAGCCTGAAGGAGATGTCAGGGCTAGAAATATAAGTTTGGGGATTGTCAGCATATGGACTAGCTGGATGAGATTGTCAAGAGAGACAGGGTTTGCTAATGGCCCAAGGTGTCTGGGCGGAGGAGAGCACAGGGCAGGGCAGGGTTTGGGGGCACTGGGAGGAAGACTCATGTTCCTGTGCCCAGGAATGAGCATGTGCCTCTCCCACAGCCTATAAAGACCTGCAGTCTCGGGAGGAGACTCGAAATGCTGCCTGGAGGAAGAGGGGCTGGGATGAGAACGTCTACTACACAGGTGCGCACCCATCGGGTCCTTGGCCAGGAACCCTGTCTGAGAATGGTATCTTCCTGCATGGAGGTCTAGCCTCACTTGACTGCCTCCAGTAATGGGGAAAATGGAACGACCCAGGCACTCAAGGGTGAGTGCTTTGAAGGATAATGAAGTAGCCAGATGGAGATGTGAAGATGCTGAACACACACAGACCTTGGACATGGTTCTTGACCTCGCTGAGTCTGTTGGGAGTAATTAATATATGTTAAGTGCTCCAGCCAGGGTCTGGCCTAGAGGGAGTACACCACAAATGAAACCTGTTGTTTTTGCTCAAGGAGTTTACCGTTTTGTTGGTAACCCTTAAGAACTACCTACAGTCCCTAGTGTGGCGCTGTAAAATAAGCACTGGACCGCAAGTTGGTTTAAACCACAAGGTTGGAGGTTCAAACTCACCAGCCACTCCTTAGAAACACTATACAGGGTTGCTATGAGTCGGAACCGACTTGATAAGCACTTAACCACAAGCAACAAAGAACGTACCTGGCATCGGTAGGTGTTGACTGAACCTTTGCCGGGCACCTAGGACTGTGGTTGGGTAGGTAGGTGGAGAGCACAAATGAACAAAAGCTTGTCCCTGCCTTGAGGAGCTTACAATTAAGCTTATAGTTGCCGACTGGTGTCAGGAGAGAATGTGTTTGCTGAAGGAGTCAGTGAGAGCCCTGGCTACTGAAAGTGTGGTCCCAACGGACAGTATCCATGTCCCCTGGAAGCTTGTTACAAACACAGAATCCCAGGCTTTCTCAGAGCTACTGATTAAGAATCTGCACTGTACCAGGTGCCCTGTGACCTTGGACCATGGCTGGTAATTGGTTTGAAAAGTTATGAGCAGGAGAAAGAATCTTGACTTCTGGATGACTTTGGATTGTTCATTACCCTCTCTGAACTGCAATTTTCCTTCTGTTAAATGGGGTTCCTGTTGCTATTGAGTCAGTTCTGACTCATAGTGACCCTGTATAGTGTTTCTGAGGCTGTAAATCTTTACAGGAGCAGAAAGCCTCTTCATCTTTCTCCCACAGAGCAGCTGACAGATTCAAACTGCTGACCTTTAGGTTACCAGCCCAACATGTAATACTTTATGCTACCAGAGCTCTTGATTAAATGAGGCAATTGGACTAAATCAGTGTTTTTCAAACTTCAGCCACTCGAGGACACCCCACAGCTTGCTCTATCAGCATAGTGTTGCTACAATTGTTTTCTTGTTATTTTTCTTTAAAATATATTATTTTTTAATAAAAATGTTCACAATATTCTGTGAAACCACTTTTCACTATGCAAATTATTTTTTCACATACACAGGAAAAGAAATATAGAATTGTTAAAAATTTTAAATATGCATCTCATTATCACCTAAAAATAAAATCACCCCTAGTCATTGAGTTGATTCCAACTCATGGCAATCCCATGTGTGTCAGAGTGTGTAGAACTATGCTCCATAGGTTTTCAGTGGATGATTTTTCAGAACTGGACTTCTAGGTATTTCTTCTGAGGTGCTTTGGGTAGCCTCAAACCACCAACCTTTTGGTTAGCAGCCAAGCATGTTAACTGTTACCACCTAGTTGTCCTTTTAACCCTCAGTGTGGGGAGGCTGGCAGTGGGGTTTTCCTGGCTCTGCCCATTTGGGGCCTCCTTCCCTTACAATGTTCAGTGGAGATGGGTGCTCACCTCAGCCCCCTCCATGACCTCTGCCCCTCTCTCCACAGTCCCCTTGGTACGGCACATGGAATCTCGCATCATGATCCCCTTGAAGATCTCGCCTCTCCAGTGATGCTGCGTCTGCCTCTTCCACAGATGAGGAACTCCTAGGCCTGCTCTCAACCATTTCTTCTCAGATCTGAAAGGGTCTGGGGAGGCCCTCAGCTTAGACAAGGGGTGCTGATGGATCACAGGGTCTGAGGAGCAGCCGCTCAGCCCAGATCCTGCCCGCCTTTCCTGCCCTCCCCTTCCTACTGGAAAGTTTCTAGTTTCACAGACAAGAACTGCAGTCTTTCATGACTTCCCACATCTTCCCTTAAGATTCCTTAGCTCAAGACCCTCAGCCCTTAGTTATCTATTACCACAGAAACTCTCCAATTTTCCTTTAGTTGCACCAAAGGTAGTGTGTCCAGTGGTGGGAATTGGGGTAGGAATGGTGTTGGTTGGGACCTGGTCTGAGGAGCAGCTCCCTGGTCTGAGCCAAGTTCCTCCTGCTGGGAACAAGCCTGGAAATATCTAAAACTGTCATATCTGTAAGATCAGATCAGGACATTCCAAGTAGGGAGGCTGGGAGAAGGGCTGGGGGCTGGGAGAGATTTGGGGGCAAGTGACAACAGGGCACAGGAACCCAGAAGGCAGACCTGGGTATCAGTTGCAGAATTAGGTAGATCGAATAGAGATGAGTGAAGACCACTTGGGGAGGGTTCTAGTATAAGATGGACAGGATTGTTTCTCCCTAACTAATGGGGCCTGGCAAAGCTTTTAGGAGCTCCCTGAGCCAAGTTCCTCCTGCTGGGGACAAGCCTGGAAGTGCCCAAAACTCATATCTCCAAGATCAGGACATGGGGTTGAGACAATCTCTCCCACCTGAGGGCAAAGGGACAAAGCAGGGCCTGTTTCTCCCACCCTCACCAGCATTCCTTGTCCCTCACACCACATTCCACTAGCCCAACCCTCATTCTCTTGGGCCACCTGATTGTGGAGTGGGATCAGTAACCCTGGGGGCCACCACCATGAAACCCACACCTCTTGAACCCCTTGGTAGCTTGATTCTGTGGGCCAGAAAAAGTGCTGGAGTTGCTGATGGAATAAACTAAATGTTTACTGTAAAGCTCTGGTGTTTTTTTCTTCATCTGCAAGGAACTGTGGTAAATGCCTTGAGGCAAGGCAGAGCCAACCAGTTTCTCATTACCACCTGGCTGATCTGTCTCCCTGAGGGCTTTGTGTTGTCTTAGAGAGAGATAAGTCAGGATATCTTTGTTCTCACCCAGAGGTAAGAGGACCTGTTTTAAGCTTTGAACTGCCAACCACAGAGTTAGTGGTTCAAACTCACAAGCGGCTCCAACAAAGACAATCTGGGAAACCCTAAGGAGCAATTCTCTGTCCTCTAGGGTTACTATGAGTCAGAATTGACTTGATGGCAGTAGGTCTTAGGGTGAAGAGACAGAACAGGCCCTGTACAACGAGGGATTTCAAACAGGTGTTCTAGTTCGTGATAAGCAATCTTGGTGTCTGTACAATCCAAAGCTTCGAAACTTTAAAATAACTGCATTTGAATTGTGAATATCTTAGGTAAATTGACCCAGCAAATGGAGAAACTAGTAAACAGGGTTAATATTGTGTGCCATGGGGGCTGAATATGACAAGTCACTTTTCGAATGCAAACCCGGTAGGATCTAAATCTTGGCATTACTACATTCCTGTGTGATCGTCAGTATATGATTTCGTTGACTCAGCCAACATTTGCGAGCGCACACTAGTTGCTGGGCACGACTTTTAAGCCCTGTGAAGTAGTGCATGAAACACCTAAATGTTTGGCTTTATAGCGTCAGTTTCCTGGTCTTTGAGGGCCTCTTGGGGTTGCTGATAACCCATGTGCAGCTAACTTCCACTCAGCGGTCGCTAGGGGGCTCTAAGCTTCGCTTCCGGCTTCCGGCTTTTGCGCCTAAGTCGGCTGGCCCTTCGTTCCTTCCATCCGCTTCTCCATGGTGCGTGGCCGGAAGTGACTCGTTAGCCGGGACGGATTTGCGGCTACATGAGGTGAGGAAGGGAACCGGTTCGTTGGGGGCGGGAACGGAGCAGGGCTGGATCTGGGTTTCAGAACACACGGTTGATGACCTGTAGGACGCCCAGGGGCCGGTCCGAGCTGGGTTCTTCACCTTACTCTCCACTAGGCACTCGCCCTTAGTTTCCTCATCTGTAAAATGTTCGCTGCAGACTCCTTAGTGTCCACGATGTGACGGTGATGGGGGTAACAGCTCGCATTTACGAGGGAGTTTCTGGAGACTCATGGAAATACTCCATTATCTTTAAATTCCAGTTTCCACGAATTTTTTGAAGTCCCTCCCTCTCCCCGCCCCCCTGTATTTAACGTTTATTTGTTCTGGACACTTTCTACTTTGTTATAAAAAGTGGGTCCTGCCTTTATGGGATTTGCCAAAACAATTTAGCATTCCTTACTAAAGACTTTTTATTGAATCACTTTTGAAACGGAAATTTATTTTAAAAGGAAACAGTAAATACATACTATGGAAACAGAACACTGTTAATAAAATTCTTACTAGATTTCATTGTCTTGCTAAGACTCCTACAAAGAACCTTACGGTTTAAGGTTTAGCGTTGGTCGATGTTAAAGATAAACTAGAAAAACATGTTTTCCTTGAAGCAGTTGTCCAGATTTCGGGGTCCCCAAAGACCACTGAGGAGCCGATGCAAATGCACAAGGGTTGTTTATTCAAGCTGGAGCTCGGGCCCCATCCGTATCCGACGCAGCGGACTCGGGATGAAGCCCCGAACTCCTAGTCAACGGGATTTTTATAGGAGTTACAAGCAGGCTCGGGGGTGGGGGTGGAGGGAGTGTTTCAGTTTAGTTACTCCAGGATTGGTTTACATTTTGCAAGGTATGGGGTGTTGCAATCTGATTAGTCATTACTGGTAGTTTAAGCTACTGGATTAGGGCAAAGGAAAACATATATCATCCGGCCTTGAATTGTCTGCTGTGTTTATCTACTTCTTACTGCTTGCTAAGGGAGGCGGGGGTGGGTGGGTGTGCTATTCTCATGCAGCACTAGCTGACTTGGTGCGTTCATGGAACAGAGAGCCCAAGTACAAAATGGAGTCTTTTCTTTAGGTCTCACACAGTCATAAGGTTTGAAAAAGGAATTAATTTTCTCTTGAAGATCACTTGTTCATCATTTAAGAAGCCCTGGTGGTGCTAGGATAAGCATTGGACTGCTTAACCATGAGATTGTTAGTTCAAACCTACCAGTTACTTCTAGGGAGAAAGATGACTTTCTTTCTGCTCTTGTAAAAATTTTCAGCCCCAGAAACCCTATATATTGTTGCTGAGTCAAAAGTCTTGGTGGCAGTAGGTTATTTGGTTTGGGTCACCATTTAAGGAACCTTTGTGGCACAGTGGGTTAAACATCAGACTGCTACCTGCAAGGTTGGTGATTTGAACTCACTTGCCTTTCTGAGAAGAAAGATAAAGACTAGTTCCATAAAGACTGACAGCTTTGGAAGCTTTGTGTTCTGAAGAGTTGCTATGAGTGAGGGTTGTTTAAAATTGCCCCCCCCAGCCTGGACTGCCTTCAGGACCAAAACTCCCCTGAGGTAGGGTCTGTTATTTTCCTTTGATTCATGAGAATACAGACCTAGAGAAAAGTGAAGTGGCTTGTACCTAGTTTGGTAATCATAAAATAATCGAGTGGCTGGCTCCTTCAGTGTTGATGACAGATTGATGGGGAAGGAGCTAGTGCTACCCTCCTTGGGGCTATAGAAATAACCAGGAGAAGTGGCCAGGAGTGAGAATGCTTTGGGATCTTAGAGCCTCATGGAATACAAGGTTTCATTGTTTTAAATTGCATGGTCACCTGGGGAATGAATTACATCACCAGATGAAGATGGTGGCAAGACTAGGGAGCATAGTAATGTGTCATTGAAAAGACCCAAGCTGTATGACTGTGAGCCTGAGCCTCTGTTTTCTCTTCTGAAAAATGGGGATAATACTAGATTTCTCTCAAAGATATGGCATGAGGAACAGGGTATGAACATACCCTGAAGGTGCTTAGATCAAGGCCCAGCACACAGTAATCAATCAGTTGTATTGGGGACGGGCTCATTTACCAAGTTGAGGTGTTTGATGACAATTTAGTCAGCTTTTATGGGATACTTTGGCAGGTTCATGGGAGAAAGGCTGTACTCACAATCCAGGTAGGGAAGACAGGTAAATGGTTCAAAGAGACATTCTGTAACAGTGCATCTAAAGAACGCAAAGAAAGGAGTGCTGTGAGGAGACCCATGAGGCTTCCCAGAGCAAGTGATCATTGCTTTGTCTTGAAGGATATGGAGGTGGGAAGGAAAAAGGTTACTACAAGCCAGGGAAAGAACTGGAATGGTAGTGGAGTTGCACCTGGAAGTAGAGGTCTTGCGGGGGAGGAAGAGGGAAGAGGAATAGGAATGAAAGAAATTTTGTTGGGAAAGTGGGTTGGGAACAGACCACAAAGCATCCTTGTACCAGACTGGTGAATGTGGACTTCATCTGGCCTTACATGAAGGGCCAGCGAAGGTTTTAAAAACAGGAGAGGCATCGAGCTAGTGTTTTTGAGAAAGAATTTAGATTGTGGTGTTAGATAAGACAGGAGGCTGTTTCTGTGGTTTAAAGAGGAATACAGGGGGTCTGACTGAGAGTGTTGAGATGAAGAACACCCATGATGCTTGGGGTCACTGGGTGAACAGCTGAATGCCTTTGTGGCGAGAGAATGAGCGGGATGTGTACTTGGGGAGGAACAATTTAAGATGATCACAAGGTCAGTTTGGATAGTGGGATGGAGGTGAGAAAAATGTGTTCATTTTGGACTGGCTGAGCAAAGAGGGTTTAGTAACGTTTCTTAAGTTAATAAATCTGAGAATGGCAGGCTGCTAGTTAGTCTTCAATTCCATTCTAGAAAAATCTCAACATCTTTCTTTCCTGAACAGATCTGTGCTGTTTCCTTGTGACCTCACGGAACAGCCATGTCATCAGAATCAAGCAAAAAACGGAAGCCCAAAGTGATCCGAAGTGAGGGAGTCCCAGCTGAGGGGAAACGGAATCGAGGTGACACAGAACAGGTAAGATCAGCCAGAGTTGCTGTGCCACTGAGAAATTGCAGCTCATGGACAAACCCCAGATTGTGCGTTTGTGACTGTTCGGAGTTGCACCTACCATGCAACAATCTCCCAGGTGGCTTCTGGAATTCCCTTGGCCCTGGAGTTTCTTCTCCATCAGCTTTACAAGTTCTTTCCAAGAACTAACTAACAGGTCTGTATTAGATATGATGAGGAAGGAGCTCTGGTGGTACAATAGTGACTTGGCAGTTCCAATAGGGGGTGGGAGGGTTGGGAACCTGGCAACCACCTCCCATAAAGGTCACAGCCAAAAGAACTCTATGGGGCAGTTCTATTCAGTCACATGTGGTCACTATAAGTTGGAATTGATTCAACAGCAACCAGCAACAACAGTGCTTGAGCAGAAAATGAATTCCACTACAGCGTGGCTCTCTAGTTTCCCTGATGTTTAAAGAAGAGGGGCTGCAGACGTGTTACACACTTGGGTCTACTACCAAGACAGTACCAGAACCATGTGCCCACCAAACCTTTTCTGTGACCTTCTGCTGACCCACATGGTCAGCAGGCTCTCCTCCTCCTTCTGTCCATTTCTCCGTCCTAGAATCTGTCAAGCTAATTTGTGATTTTAGCTGTGTTGATTGGTCATTGCTTATGTGTTTTGTTTTAAACTAGAGCAGGGAAATATTCCAGCTTAAATTGAAATAAAAAGTGGTATTTTCTTACAGTTTAGGAATTTAGCTTAAACACAGAACCTTATCCTTCTTAGCCACATGCTCAAATCTCATGTACTCTGTTCTGGAGGCTGGGCGATATCTCAGTCTCTGCTAAAACTTGTTTTGACAACCTAAACACCCATCTGTAGAGATTTGGTTAGATGATTTCTGGTTTAACAATATGTGGATTATTAGACAACCATTTTGATGGAGGTCTTTATTTTCTGGAATGGGAAATCATAGTTACCAGCATGGACAATAGATCCCATTGGGTTTAAAAATAAAATGGGTGTTTACCTCATAGTATTAATAACAGAGTTGTTTGAAGCTGTGAAACTACAGGCAGTTTTTTTGTTTTCTTCTGGATACTCCTCTATATGTTCTGAGTTTTGACAGCAAGCATGAGTTAGTTTTTTTTTTTGTTTTTTTTTTAAGGATTTTATTGTGGATTGAGTGAAGTTTACAGGGCATTTCATCAGTTTTACATTCAACAAATCATATACCTTGTTTCATTACATTGATTATAATCCCTTCCATGTAGCATCAATTAACAGTATTTTTCTCTATCCACTTTAGCTTTTAAAAAAACACACAAACAAAAAACCCCACTCAGGCATATATAATAATTTACATATCCAAAGGGCACATTCTGCAAGTCTGCTCCTGGCCACCAGCTCTTAGTCCTTCTCTTCTTAGTCCATGAATCTAGAGTCCTCAGCCACTCCCCCTCTCCATGCCCCCATCTCTGGCACTACTTCTCTGGATAAGGTCGCGCATTCTGCTTGTGCATTCCTCTCTTGATGGTCCTAGGGTCCTCTGTTTCTGGACTGTAAGATTAACCACTCCCCTTTTTT